CTCGATCTCCTGACTTCGTGATCCACCCACCTTGGCCTCCCAAAGTGCTGGGATTACAGGCGTGAGCCACTGCGTCCGGCCAAAAAAAAAAATTTTTTTTTAAAATAGTGTCTCACTCTGTCATCCAGGCTGGAATGCAGTGGTGTGATTACAGCTCACTGCAGCCTTTAACTCCTGGGATCAATTGATTCTCCCATCTCAGCCTCCCAAGTAGCTGGGACTACAGGTGCACACAACCATACCAGATTAATTTTTTATTTTTTATTTGCAGAGATGGGAGCCTCATTATTTTCCCCAGGGTGGTCTTGAACTCCTGGGCTCAAGTGATTTTCCCACTTCGGCCTCCTAAAGTGCTGGGATTATAGGCATGAGCTACTGCACCTAGCCTAAAATGCATTTTTAATAAATTTAACGCATTTCACTTTATTAAAAAAATAAGATTAGTAGGAATTGGAACACTCCAGGAAAATCTAGATGTACAAGAGGGCATTTATAAAACCACAAACAGAATGGGACTTTCCTAGAGACAGCACTGTTCTCACTTTGACTTGTCTTCTCTCGATGTACCAGCAAAATCCAGTTGGGTCACAAATTCATGCCAGTTTTGACCTACTTTGTATATTTAAGACTGACGTTTCTAGAGTTCCACATTCATATACAGACAAAGGTAAGTTACCCATGGGTAAATTAAGGTAGAAATCAGTTTATAAAATTAGGCCCATATTTGCTTCCACAGTGAGTTGTTTGTTCATTTGCCCAATAACAATTGAAAGAAAACTAGAGGAGATGAGAGAAAAGACAGCAATTGATCCTGTCCTCATGTAGCACAGTCCAGTTAACCCATTAGAACAATGTGAACCAATAGAACCAATAGAACAACTATTTCCCAGGCCCCAATTTAGTTACAGATCCAGGGATAGAAGGCTTAGTAACAAGCATTAAAAAATCTCTCCAGGTTTTCTGATATGCAGCCAGGTTGAGACCCATTGGCTTAGCCACCCAGGGTTATGCGAGAGGCAAAAGCAATGAACTACAATTTGATTTTTCTAATGAATATACAGAACATTAATACAGGATCCACCAAAAACTATTCGTAAAATATTTGGTCCCAATGCCTTTACTTTACAGTATAAAAGCCCTCGCTTACAAATAATATCCCAATTGTCAATTTTTTACATTTAAATTAAATGTCTCAAGTAACCCAAACAAAAACTGTGACAGATTCCAGTATGCAATATTCATATAGACAGGGAAGATACATTTCAAATTCAGAGGCAAAATATTTATCGTCTAACCATACAAATGATCAGGATTGTTAAAAATTTACACTAAAGAATGTGAACTTGCACACGAGCTGCCAATAATCTTGAACGATCTTGAAAACGCAAGG